TTTGGTCTTGAGACAGGGTCTCGCTATGCAGTTCAGGCTGGCCTTGAGCTCACTTTGTAGCCCAGGCTGGTCTCGAACTTGCAACAATCCTCCTGCCTCAGCCTCCTGAGTGCTGGGATTACAGACATGCACCACCATGCCTGGCCCAGAGCCTTTCTGTGCTGAGGCAAAACTGTGCACCCTTGCTCAGGCTGTGTCTACTCTGGAGGGTTCTGACCACATGTCCAGCACTGGCCGGCGGGGCAGGGTTGAAGCTGTTTTCAGAGCTGTCTTGGAAGGACCCAGGAGTGGTTGCCAAGTGATATCTTCTAAATGTGAACAAATGAATACACCAACTTAATATCGGAACTTAGAGGCATTTACTAGCTATCAGTTGTGAGCATTTATAAATAGCAAATGGTGCCAGGGTGGTGACACACGCCTGTAATCCCAGCACTCCAGAGGCTGAAGAAGGAGGATGGACTCGAGTTTGAGGCTAGCCTGGGGTACAAAGTGAGTTCACAGCCAGCCTGACCTGCATGGCAGGACCTCTGTCTCAAAACAAAACAAAACAAAAAAACAAGTGAGTTCAAGGCCATAGTGAAACTATGAACTGAAACACTGAACTGCATAGTAAAATCCTACCTCAAAAAAAAAAAAAAAAGTAAATGGTAAGACAGGCGTGAAGGTTTACACCTGTAATCTCAGCACTCTGGAGGCTGAGGCAGGAGGATTGCTGGAAGTCTGAGGCCAGCCTGGCTACAGTGAATTCAAGACCAGCCTGGACTACATAATGAGATCCTGTCTCAAGAAAAACCAGAACAAATAGTAAATGGTAGCAACCACTCCGACCTTCCATCCTGGTGGCAGCTAACACGGATTACTGACGATGACTAAAGTGCATGGTGCTTTCACGTGATCGCTTTTCAGACCCTCACCTTACCCCTCCCCCATTGCTGCCCCCATGCAGTGGAGGAGGAAAGGTCACCTGGTGACACAGCAAAGTGGCCTGGAGCCGGAGGTTCTGTCCTAGGGCCTGAGAGTCAAGATACAGGGCACGCTGCTCCCTGCAGGTGATGACCGAGTCCCAGGATAGCCCTGCAGGCGGACAGGCAGGCCAGCCGCTCCTGCCCGATGGACAGGTTTCAGAGGGGGAGGTGACCGTCAGGTGTCACAGGGCTGACAACTGCGGAAGCAGATGGCGGAAGTCTAAGCCCAGGGCACTCTCCAAGGCGCACGCTTGACAGCGCTCAGTTACTGAGAATCAAGCCTGCTAAATAAGAAATACTGGTGTTACTGGCAACTGCAGCAGCTAAAACGCAGTGTTCACTGTCTGCCAGGCATTACCCTGAGGCTCTGTCCATGCACATTAACTCCCCATCTCCACAAGCGCTCATGACCCCCCCTTGCAGATGAGCAAAGTGAGGCATGAGTTTGCTGGTAACTGGGACTACATGGGGAGAGCCTGTCTCAAAAAAACAAACCAGCAGGGCATGGTGGCACATGCCTGTAACCCCAGCACAGGGGAGGCTGAGGCAGGAGGATCGCCTTGAGTTTGAGACCAGTCTGGACTACAGAGTGAGACCCTGTCTCAACAGAACAAAACAAACCCAACCCAAAGTCCATGCAAACAACCCTCAAAGCCTAGACGCATGATGGGTGTAAAACAGGAAACCAAACCCTGCCCCTTTTTTCTACTTCTGCCTTGTAAAAACAGAGAGACACATAGGTGGCTTCGCCTGGCAATAAATACTTTAATTTTTTGTTTCATTTTTATGATGACAAATAATTTTCAAGTTTATTTCCTTTTTTGTTTGCTTAAATACAAAGCGAAACCACAAACGGGTACAACCAAGAAATCATCTCTCACATGGTGGCACTCGGGCGGATCATCCTCAATTCGCTGACCTGGCGGGGGTGGGGAAGACTTTCTAGGTAGCACCGCATCGCCGGGGACCAGCATGGCCGGGAGTGAGAATCAGTCCCCCGGGAAGGAGGCGGCCACCTGCTCCTGCCAGCGCGCTCCAGGCGAGCACTGGGCCTTGTCCTTGCAGCCCACGTGGCCAGGGGAGGGGTCCCGGGGTCCCGCCTTAGCTCCTCTGTCCTCGTGGCAAGGACACCAGGCGGTCTAACAAACACAAGGCCCTGACAGCAGTTCTGGACCTTTCAACCTGGCAGTGCCAGGCGGGCGAGAGCAGGGGTCATTTCTGGTCCCACTACAAAACTTAATCTTTGATTAGAATAGAGAGCCATCTCAAACCTCTCCTACAAAAACAAAACCCCAAACCCCCAAAACAAAACCAAAAATGCAGCCACTTCACTCATTTTAAGACCTATATACAAGTAAGTTGTTTTCCTTTTTTTTTGAGGCAGGGTCTCACTATGTAGTTCAGACTGGCCTTCAACTCACTGTGTAGCCCAGGCTGGCCTCAAACTTGTGGCAATCCTCCTGCCTCAGCCTCCCAAGTGCTGGGATTACAGGCATGCGCCACCATGCCCGGCAAGTAAGTTGTTTTCTGTGGGCTTTTTTTTTTTCCTTTTTCTTTTTTAAAGTTTTTTTTGGTTTTTTAAGTTTTTATTATTATTATTTTTTAAAATAAATTCAGTGTTCACATTTCTATAAAGAATGAACCCAGATTCGGGCAGCCCTGCCGGCCTCTAGCGTGAGCGCCCCCAGTGCCCTGGGGAACCCCGAAAAGCAGCAGTCTATGGAAGAGCGAGTTCATGCCTGGCCCGTGCGCCTGGGCCCAGGAAGCTTTCAAGAAAGCAGAGGGGAAGACGAGCTTACTGCGAACCCTTCTTTTAAAAAAGATTCATACGCTTCACGGTGCGCCTATCAGACATGAGGAGAGCAAGAGCTTGGAGACACCCCAGGCAGGCTGCAGGGTGGGGGTGGAGTGGGTGGTCCCCCGCGCCGCCTTGCCTGTCCTGGGTGTGGGGTGGGCGGGTCCTGGCTCTGAGGCCGAGGCAGGAGGCTCTCGCCCGGCTTCCGAGTTCATGTTCGACTCCTTCCTCTAAAACCTGTGCCGAGTCTCTGACTGCATGCACGGAAGCACAAACGTTCGACTTGTATGCAAAAAAGGTACAAAATCAACTAGGATATAAAAGTTTTGGTAATATAAGGCCATCTGTTCAAGTCCACCTTGGAAACCTGTAACAGATATTTAAATACTACAGTGAAAAGGCATCTTAATATACTTTTTTTAAAAACATCTGAAGTAATCTGCTAAGACTAAGTGTGTAAAAACAAAAACAAAAACACCCCATTTCCCTTTGAGGGCACTTTGTCCTTGAGGAGCGCGGGCGGGCGGGCGGTCAGTGCTTCAGCCACGGGTGGGCCTCGATGGATGCCTTGCTGCGGTCCCCGTAGTCGTACAGCAGCTCCTCCCCGGCCGCGATGTCGCGCGAGGCGATGAGGATGAGGTGCGGCACGCCGTCGATGTCGTGCAGCTTGGTCTGGCAGTTCCCACACTTGCTGTGGTTGATCAGCCGGCCCAGGCGGTTCGTCTCCCTCGTGGCGTCCACACTGCCAGGGCGCGTGGAGGGGACTCAACTGAGAAAGGGGGCCCGCACCCAGCCGGGGATCACATGCACGGCATTCAGCGACATTCATCCCCTCTGCAGGGGAATGACACTCACTTCAAAGCGGGGTTCCCCTGTCGGGCGTGGTGACGTAGGCCTCTTATCCCCCGCACTCAGGAGGCTGAGGCTGGAGGATCCCTGGCGTTCAGGCCAGCCCGGGCTACACGACTGTCCCAACCCTCTCCCAACACCAAAAAGCTGCTACTGAAACTGGGTGTGGGGGTGCACACCTACAATCCCAGCTCTTAGGAGGCTGAGGTCGGAAGATCACTGTGAGCTCCAGGCTAGCCTGAACATACTGAGACCTTGTTTCAAAAATAAATAAGTAAAGCTATTTCTGTTCAGAGGTCCTGGGTACCCTGGGTGAGGGGCTTGGAGATGGTAGGTCTCAAAGGCTGTTACGCTTGTGGTGCGGGGGATAGGGCCCAGCACCTCCTGTACACTAGGCAAGCGCTCCACCTCTGAGCTGGACCCCCTCAGGCCTCTCTTCGAGTCAGGGTCTTGCTAACTTGCCAAGGTTGGCCTCACACTTGAGATCCCTCTGCCTCAGCCCTCCAAGCATGCGGCACCTGTCTGGCTCAAAGCGCTCTTTATGGAAGCATGGGAAACAAGGGCAGAGTTTTATACAATAAACAAACAGATAAAACTTGGTCTTGGGCCGGGAATATAGCTCAGCAGCACAGCATCTGCCTGCCAAGCACAAGGTCCTGAGTTCAATTCCTGGTACCAAAAATAAAAAATAAAATAAAATAAAAACTTGGCCTCACAGGCCATGGTCAGGAAGGAAGAACTAGCGGTCTCCAGGGCTGCTCTGGCTGAACAACCTGTGCAGGAAGAGGCCAGGGGAGCTGAGGGGGCTTCAATGTGACGCCTTCACTTCTGCTTCTGGTTGCGTGAAAGGGCGCCAAGGGGAACTCCAGCTCAAAACACTGGAAGAGCCGTGTCACAACTTTGAGAAAAGGCCGCTCTTGGGAATCCCAGCCCTGTGGCTCATCCTCTCTGCCCCAGGAGAAAGGACACTCAACAGAAAATACACTTAGAAAGCGAAGCTCAGTGGTGCATGCCTATAATCCCAGCATTTGGGAGGCTGAGGCAGGAAGATCGCTGTGAGTTTAAGGCCAGCCTAGGCTACATAGGAAGACCCCATCTCAGAAAATAAAAAACCAAAACCAGCCACGCATGGTGGCATACAGTTGTGATCCCAGCACTCAACAGGCTGAGGCAGGAGGATCTCCACCAGTGTGAGACTAACCTGGGCTACAGTGAGCTTGCCCAACCTGAACTACATGGCGAGACCCTGTGTCAAAAACAAATAAAAACCAAAACCAACAAACCAAAACACAGTCCACTTACCAGTAGGTTTTGCTGAGATATTGAAAGTAGTACATGTAGCAGCCCGTGGAGGGGTCTTGTGCATACAGAGCCTCTCGCTTCTTGGCATCGGTGATCTCGATGAGGTCCCCGTGGTACTCTACCACAAAGTCACCCCGGGAGAACTGCTTGGTGGCAATCACACCCCTGCCTTTGCCGTCGATGAGGTCGATCTGTCAGGAGGGAGAGAGTTGGTTCGCGGCAGCGACAAGAAGCCAGCAGGCACGGCAGCCCTCCTTGGGGCCGAGGCGTGCGCCACCTGCTTCACCAGCTTTACCCAGGCGGGCGCGTGAAAATGAATTCACTCGTCTTATGTGCAGGACAGGAGGTTTTCTCCCGGGTGCACAGTTGTACGAGGTGTGATGGATAAACGTGGTGAATGTCTAAAGTTATACAAAATGTATTACAACAGAAAAACATATTGCCACGAATCCCCCGCAAAATCCTCCCCTTGCTTCAAGCACACTTGCCCCATGGTTCCCGCCCCTTTCTGAAGCACTTCTGCAAGTCCTCTTTGCTGAGTGTCTAGCTGCGCTGTCATGACTGCCTCATGTCCTGAGTTGATTCAAAGGGTTTGTATTTTGAGGTCATTTTAACTTCAGGGACGAGCCAGAAGTTGCCCGGTGTCACATCAGTGAGTAGGGCACGTGAGGGCAGTGTTGTGTTTCTAGAAGCCTGTCTTTATGCTGGCTAACATCGCTAGCAGCGTCCACTGTCACATTTTGCAGATAAACGCAGGGAAGAAGACTTCCAGCACCGCTTCAGAAAGCAGCAAGAGGCTCCTCCCTTTTTGCTCGTTGCTTTTGCTGTTCTCCTGCCACCACAAACCGCTGCCTTCTGCCACGTGCCACTCTGCCTTGGAGCCAGCCAAGTATGGACTGAAACGTCCACAAACTGTGAGCTAAATAAAC